CACAGCGGCAGGGACTGAGATACATCTCTAGTGTATCCACGGGGACATATGGCCATATCCGACTGCCTGGGTAAGTCTGGAAACTACCCACCATGACAAGGTCCTCCAGATGGGTGTGGCTGTCAAAATTGGCCTACCCTGTGGTCCTGGGAGGGGACTGGCCGGGGTTCCAGGAGATCCTGCGTGAATATGGTCATCAACCCGCAGGAGAGGGGAAGAAAGGGCTAGCAAGGAGGGGATGACTTGGGCACCCCTCAGCCCGACCTAGGAAAGTGACCATCCAACCCCACCGAGACTTCAGGTGACCCATACCCTGATGCGGAGACCCCCCCGTGAAGGATGCCAAGGTGGAGCTGGAGCGTGATGGGGACTCATCAGGGAATTGATGGAGGACCGCACCTTCAGCTGAGCCTGGGACCAGGTTACGAACCCAACCAGGAAGGAGGCGACGCTCTGTGGCTACCGCAGATACCCCAGTTTTTCTGGCTGGGTATACACTGGGAGGTAAAAGACTACTGTGCATCCTGTCCTGAATGCCAGTGTGCTGGACTAAAGTGGGTACCCAGGGCACCCCTCATCTCCCTCCCAGTGATCGGGGTACCTTTCGAACACATTGGCATGGATCTCATGGGACCACTGGGGAAGAATAAGGCGGGAAACTGTTACATTCTAGTGGTACCTGGAGGCCATCCCCTTGCATGCAGCCCCAGCTCCCAACATTGCCACAGAGCTCATGAAGATTTTCGCCAGGGTTGGGACATCACGGGAAATCCTGACAGACCTGGGGCACCGACGTATCCTTGCGGCCTCTGGTTGAGCCGTGTCGCGTACTGAACCGCCTGAGCACTCAGGACCTCAGTGTATCACCCCCAAACCGACGGGCGAGTGGAGAGGTTTAATGGACCCCTCAAAGTGATGCTGTGCAAGTTTGTAGGAAAACAACCCTTGACATTTGGACACATTACTCCCAGTCTTGCTGTTTGCCATTTCTCCAAGACTGGGTTCTCCCGCTTCGAACTCTATGGGAGGCAACCCCAGGTCATCCGCGACCTCCTAAAGGAGGACTGGGAGGAGCAAGAAACTCCAGTCATGGGGTCAGCGGGATACATGTTACAACCACGTGAACAGCTCCGCACCCGGGGGGCCTTTGCGCAGGAGAATCTGCTGTAGTCTTAGGTGTACAATAAGGAGAACAAGCTAAGCAGCTTTGAACCTGGGGACTGAGTCCTACTTGTATTGCCCTCTGCGGAGTCCAAACTCTCGGCCAGGTGGCAGGGCCCCTTTGAGGTTGCACGACACCATAAACAACAAGATCCAGATGCCCAGGCGGCAAAAAGAGGAACGCACATATCACGTCAACCTGTCAAAAGCCTGGAAGGCTAGGGAAGCCTTGTTCATCGCCCCTTACTCCCTGGAACCAAGGCAAATCGGGCTCCCAGCTGGAAGGTGATTGTTTGGGGGAAAGAGACAGAGCCAAGGGAACCCTGCTGGGGCGTCTGAAGAAGTTAGGCCTTCCAGGGGACGGTAGGCCTTTTAGTAAGACAGGCAGGTGTGACGGCTGTTATTTTAAAATCTTTTTTTTTCTTATCCCTTTTTCCCTACTCCAAAATAAACACGGCTAGGGGTTGAAGATGCCTGGTCTGTCACTGTCCAGCCCTGATCCCAGACGGACGAAGGGATCTGCACTCAGCCTGATTTGCTGGGCAAGTAAAGGTTCAGACATAAGTTCTTGTTGCCTAGGGCCCGGTGTCGGAACTGCAGAATTCCATGCCAGGAGAGGGAAAACCCTGCGGCCTGACATCTGAGGGGGGGACTCAGAGAGACCAAGAAGGGGACAGGATGCAGCTAGCCCTGTCACTCATGATGACACCCACTCCCCTTCCTCCCACTGCCCCCGCCTCCTGGGACCCCAGAAGCAATTGCTCCCCTCTGCTTTCATTGTCTGCAGGCCTCTTTGCTAACTGTTCTCCAAAATCTCCCATTTCGCAACCACTTTCCACCTGATGCTCCCACTGTCCGGAGTGTTCTTTGCTTTGGACTCCCACCGTGCAGAAGTAAGAGTGGCAATACATCATATACCAGACCATTCTGCGCTGCTGCTGATGGCGGCGTTGCCTTCAGAGCTGGGCCCCCGGCCAGCAGCCGCCGTTCTCCGGCCCCCCGGATCTGAAGGCAAAAACCGGAGCGAACCGCTAAGTTACAAGAAATTTGTCACATCCCGTGATTTGGGCAAAAAAAATTAACTTCAAAATGCTCTAAAGAACAACAGATCTGTCTGTACATTGTAAAAAATGCCACTTGATAGAACAGATAAGTTCTATCGGGCTGGTTTAATACAACGCCATGAGAAACGATCATTTATAGACCAGCTTTCCTTCGGGCTGGTCTGTTATTGCTTTCAAATAACTCTGCAAACGAACAGAATCAAAATGTCGTTCACCCATTTCGTTTTTGTATTTGTAAATTAAAAAAAAAAAGTAAGTCATTTAAAAGAGAAGTATACTCTATCACATATTCCAGTAAAATGTGATGGGCATTGCATCATCTACTACAAGTATTTTCACTATCCATAGCTGTAAAATTGGAATCTCACGGGATTAAGGCTTAAAAAACGTATTCACAATAACCAGTCAAACAGAACACAGAACACACAGTGCTTGCTTCGCCAGGGTTGTGTTGTTAAACTGGGAGGAGTGGTAGATGTAGATCAATCTC